TCTTGACTTGTTAGCTTGAATTTGGTTGTGACAATGGTACCTTGCTCTGATGATGTTCATCATATGACAGGCGAAAGCGGAATCGGAATGGATGGGGATTGTCTCGGAAATAGCGTCGCCATGATTGTTCCAATAAAACCAATCGAAAGCTGGTCAAGAGTAATCTTTCTTTGTTTTCTGGTGGGATCGAGCTTGCAATCTTTTTACCTAAACACTTTCCCTCGAAGCGGAAGTAAGCACAACAAACTTTCGTTCGTCGTATGACAAACATCATCAAAATGGGGAGGTATCATGCCTACAACCATATTAAGGCTGACGAGTCAAGAAAACTCATTGGCTCATCGTAAAAGCATTTGAGTGTGTCTGTCTCTGTATGTTTATGTGCTGTATATGTTGGCATATGCACGAAACTAGCAGTGCCGGCTCAAAGCAATTAGGACATACAGCAAAAGTGACGACCGCCATTACTCCCTCCATCTATGCATGTTTTATCTATCAATCCGGTTGCACAAGGTCGGACAAACGTCTGGTTATCGTAATGAGCTTTTTCCTCGTCGGATACGAGAGAAAGAGTGGGTTAAAAGTAAACATGAGTGACTATGATTAAAACCAAGACAAGATAAACTAGTTGATTTGCTCAATATCCTCTCTATCCTTGAGTCTATTAATTGGGCACAAGTGGTTCTTAGAAGCAGTTTGACCTTGTTTTCGCAACTTGGTCCTATTGGCATGACGACCCGGAGGAATGCACCCTATTCGGAGTCCATAATATGCATGATAATGTGCACTTGGTACATTCCCCGGCGTCAATATCAGACACTTCTACTATTCACTCTAAATCTATCACTCTAAACCCATAACACTCCTAGCTGGTTTTTTCCACATACCTCCCACTGTGCCGGGAGTGTTGATCCAAAGCTCGGTTTAATCAGCAATCCTGTCCCTTCTGCTCCGTAGGACACCTTCTTTATGTGCTTATTTCACTGATTTCACTACATCCTGCCACCGTATCCCTGCTACTCAAGGCGTTATCTTCTACACTATGCCCCACGATTTTGATAGCCCTAACGTCTGAATTCCCAATTGGCATGGCAACATAACGTGACGCTGCAGCATTTGCAGCGAGTAAATCTCGTCGTCAAGCCTTGACTTCATAAACCACGTCTATGGGCAAGCCAATCTACTGATAGCCAACTAGAAATGGTCACTACCGTCCATGACTTTCTCTAGCGTGCCGAGCCCAAACGTCTTCTCTTGGTTTCCGATCGCCCCAATCTGGCCTCCTCATAATTTCTTTTCCTAAAATTAAGAATATTAGTATTCCTGTTTCCTGATCCTATCCGAGTTTTCTTAGGCAGTATGCAAAGTTTTCGCTAATCCTGCCTTCGTCAAGTCTCCTGTTCATTAGATTTCTTTCATTCAGCATCTCAATGGATTCACGTATTTTGCATTTTCTCATAGTTACGCCGCTCGATTTCGTGTCCCGTCCTTGTGATGCGTTCCGCTATTTCGGATCTTTCAGTGTCCATGTTTCTGCACAGTCTTTGATGTTCCTTGATTCGCAGGCCGATTTATCTTTCTCTTTCATAAATCTACTTATGCTCACAGTTGTCGCAAACCAGTTTGTCAACCATCCCGTATTGCATCGGCACGACTGTGAAGAGTGTTGACTTTTATTTTGTTGTCACTTATATATTCCATTTTCTTAGCAACGGCATATCTACTTATTGACGTCCTCTCGATTCCTCATATTATTTTCACAAAATCCAAGTTTAAATCTGCTCTTTATGACCCCTATATTTCTTTCTATAAATTCTCTGGGGTACCAGTTACTAGGGCAACTCCAAATCAGATTCTTCAACTTCTCGTTCCAGAACTCAGTGTCCGTTAGTCTTAAGCTTTTGATGCTCATACTCCTCATTATTCCGATGTTCAGTCTGCAGTTGTGATGAGACTGAAAATTTAGGAATATTCGTGCATGTGATTTCTTTCTGAATAGTCTCCTCCTGAGTATGCCGTCGGAGCGAATGACCTCAACATCCAGGAAGGGTAGTCGTTTATCCCCCTCCACCTCCATAGTGGATCCAATTTTTTCATCAAGTTGGCTTATAAAATTGAGGAACTCATCCAAAGTAGTCGTCCAAGTACCACATAAGCACTCTTGGTTGTAGCAGAGACTTCTCCAATTCCTTCTCCAATCTGTCCATGTTTACATTTGCCAAATATTTGCTCGTAGATACTGTCGGATGGATAAGTCGTGTTAACTCCTCCCTCCGTATTCGTTCTGCCTCCAAGATGTCCTCTTCTCTCTCCAATATCTCCAGCAAAGCGCTTAACGCCTTGTCATCTGAGATGTTTGTTCCGACCCCACCGGCCCAATGATTTGGATCCTTTGAAAAATTCATATGAATTATCTCTGTGCCAGGGAACAGCAATATGAGCAAGAAGAAGACGACTTGACAGAGGTAATACTTTCAATTTTAGGAAAAGATATTACAAAGTGACCAGTGAGGAACAATCGGAAGCCAAGTAGAACCATCACATTTGGGGGTCGGCACGCAATACAAAGTCATCTACTTGGCATTAGGGATAGAAAAGCGAGAGAAACGGTAGTGTCCATTTCTAGTTGGCTATTGGTAGATAAGTTTGCTCATAGTCGTGGTCCAAGAAGTAAAGGATTGAGTACGAGATCTATGCACTGCACATGCCTGACAACAATAAGAGA